TACGGCGAAAATGTATCTGATGTCACGACAAATGCACGGTACGTACGTGCAAGTTCCCTTTTCGTTGTAACTAATTCAATGAAATGCTTCCATTGCTTATAGCAAGAGAAACTGTTTACCGTACTTATCGTTTAATAAATTTACACACGTTGCCGAGTACAGATAATTTTTCATATCATACAAACGCCCACTTCTGACCCGTGCAAATCACTACGCTCTTAATATGATACAAGTTTCTTATGCTTTCAATTGATCTTATTACCAATTTTCATCTTTTATGTTTTTTTTATAATTTATTTGCAGTAAATTTAAATCTTTAATATAGAATTCGACGTAGAATTTACAAAAGAAGTTTGCAAGAAGTCAAAGTTTTTAAGAAGTCACCCAGTGCATAGTTGGAAAGATTCGAAGCACATCATTTCGAAGAATAATTCACTGAATGCCTGTCGTCCTCAGGAGAATATGTCATCTTCTCGGAATACTCCTTTTCATTCATTTTATCTCTGTTTCTATTATTTTTTTAATATTTTATTATTTATTCTATTCTATATTCCACTATATATTCTTTTTTTTCATTTATATATTAAAAAGTAAATATTTTGGTTTCAGGATACATTTATAAAGAGACAAGTTTCCTTTTTATTCAATAATCTTTGAATCGATTAAATTTGATATAAATATATATTTTTTCAAATATACATACATGTTTATGTATTTTGAAATTTATCACTATAAATAATAATCAACAATCAAAAACGACCAACAGCAATAATCTGAAAATATATAATTAATGTAGTTATACTTACATAAAAGAATTTATAAAATATATTATACTATATATTATATATATTATATATTATATATTATATATTATATATAATAATTTATAATATATATTAAATTATACATATTGATAACTTTCAGCTATATTATTATTATATTTTTCGTAATTCTATTACGAACTCTATTTTATAAAATCATATTTATTTTTTGATCAATTGAAAAAATTAAAACTTTTAATAAATTATGAAAAAATAAAAATTTAAAAAATAAAAAAAAAATAAATAAATGTAAAGTGAAACAAGTTGCAAATGATTGCAATTTTAGTAATTTATTATACAAAAGTTCAAAGTAGACGTATTTTATTTTAAATAAATAAGATTTTTTGAAATTTCTCTTTTTTTTTATAAATGAATTTTTTAGAAAGTTCTAAAAGAAAGTTTTATATCAGATTTATATTTTATTCTTAAGAAAGAACATAGTAAAAATCCTTCGAATTTTGCACTTGTAAAAGTGTAATTCTTTATTCTTTATATTTTAATTTATTTTCAATAAAATTGATAATTTCATTGTGAGAAGAATAAAAGATAAATCTTATAATAATTTTATAAAACAAATATTGGAAGAAAACAAAGACAAGATAATTATGTAGTTGAAAAATTTTAATAACCCTCGACAATATAAACTAGCTACGACACTGTGAGAAAGTCACAGAGAAAGAAAAGCATTGTCGTTTTCGTCTTGTCTCTCTTATAACCACGAGTCATGTTGACATGCATGCTTATGTACAAATAATTGCGCATTATTTCTATATAAAAGATGCTCCAATAATATTTCAATAATTTTTCAGCACATAGGCATATACTTGATATTTTTATCCAAAGGAAGATGATGCTACTTTTCAAAAAATTTTTTCATAAAATGTGAATAATGATTGATAAAAAATTCATTAATAATTATTCATTCAAAGATTCTTAAGTTTTATTTTAATATGCATAATTTTCTAATTACATCGCGTTTTATGAAACGCAACTTGTCGCTGAATAATTATGCACACTTGAATATTGCAACTTAAGATACGTGTCTTGTATAACGATACCACGGAAGTGATTCTGGATGCAATACGTGACTAATACTACATTATTAATTAGTATTATAAAAAATGTTTTGTGAAATTATTTTTTTTTAATATTTTATATATGAAGTTTTTTCCAAATTTTAAAGATGGTTATTGTTTATGAATTACGTTGTATAAATGTAAAAGTAATAAACAAAATGATTATTAGCAATCAAGAGCTTAGTCAAAGAAATTAATCGAATGTATATGGAAAGAATGTAATTTTTCATGATCACATTCTTGCGAAGATATTTGTAAGTGGAAACAAAATATACGTGAAAAAAGCTATCATTCGGAATAAAATGTGCTGGTATCTAGAATCAGAATGTCGTTCGTTACAAACACCGAAATCGCATTTACAATTTAACTACTGACATATCAATTACTCTCTCAACTTTTTTACAAATAGTATACATAGATTTATAATTGTATACAACTCTATTACAATTTTTAATTACAATCAACAACAGTTATTTGATTTTATCAAAATTAAAAATTTTTTAATTATATATAAAAATAAAAACAAAGTAATGCAGTTTTTAAGATTTAAATTTCTTTTTCCATATTTTATAATATTAAATAATAACATTAAATTTGAAATTTGTTTATATATATACATATAAAGAACTGTTTTTATAGAAATACATGTCTCTTTTCTAAATAACCTTCGAGTATATATCGTTGACGCAGAAATTATATGTCATGAATCTATCAATTTCATTCTTCTCTCTTCCGTGAAGGAAGAGAATTGCGGGTCTATAAAATAGCCATTTAAATTAAACGGATTGAATATTCAATAAATTTCAAATGATTTTTATTTTTTTAACAAATTTATAGATAATATTATAAGTAAAAAAGAAAACTAAGTATAGTATTTAAATATATTTTTAGCGTATAGATAATGATTATTATTATTAATTATTAATTATCATTTAGATTCGTGTTTCATACATATCAAAATATATTATGATATGTATAATAATTGTCTTCTATAATGTTTATCAAGTAGGCGTACATTATAGAAAGAATTTATTCAATATCGTAAAAAAATATTGTATTATTATTATTATTATTATTATTATTATATACAATTAGTGTATTTAAATTTAAATTATATTTAAATTTATTCTTTCAAAATTTCTTTCTATTTTTTAAGAATGAATTTTTTCTTTTACAGTTCTAGATGTTCTTTTCATCTAATTTGCAAACCTGTTTATTGTATCTCATTTTTGAGTTTCTCGAGCACGATATCAATGATATTTAAAGAATGCATCGTCATTAATATGTATGTCAAGCATAGTGAATTGAGATATACTTTCCCTGCTTTCGCGCGTATCCATCGTCCAAGACGAGTTCACTAGCAATCGTAGTATTGTCTGATGTGGCCAGTAGTGAAACCGGAACTCGAGAAAGTTCCAAAAAGATTATCAAAAATTGCTTTATCTATATTCACATGTACTTATATATATTGAATCGTAGATGCAATAGATTCATTATACGCATTGAAGAAAAGAATGCAACCTAAAAATAACATTCGAGGATGGCAGATGATCAAAACAAAAATTGTGCAATCATCTTTTTCCTATTTGATTGTATAATGAATGAACAGATATATGCGAAAAAAACCGGTTCTTTTACTGATGCTGAATCATAGCTAAAACCTGTTGACTTCTTTTGTGTCCACATTCACATCAGTTTCATGATGATATTCATCCAATTCCTATGCATGAGGAAAAACATTAACAATTCGCACAACAATAAGCGGATTTTTTCTTTTAACAATATTTTATCATGTTATTTTTTCCGTCAAAGTATGATACTACGTCTATTCTTTGGAAATTCCAAGAAATTAATTTAGTATTGAATCACTCAATTTAATTATCGATTTTAAAATGAAAAATCTTTATCTATCTTTTAATTTTTTACTTCTTAATTTTTATTTGTGTGATTCCAGAGATACTTTTAATTTTGACGATTAAAAGTGGAAATTCTAAGAAGGAAGTATGATCGGTATGATTATATGTAAGAATTTCGCAAAGGAAAATCGACTAAACATTCTTTATTGTGAGATCCATTTCTGGACTGTTCGCATGGAAAATATTTATTCCTGTTAAACTCTTCAAGCTATTTTCATTCGATGATTTTGTAATTTGGAATTATTTTCTCACGCACAAACAATTACGTCCGCAGTTTTTTTTTTTAGATACAAAGAAGGTAAGACGAGTCCATATATCGCAGTTTAACGTGATACGTGTTACATACGCACACATACATAGCATCCTGTTGTAAAGTCTCGTCCTAAATTTCTCTTAATTTCATAAAATCTCGGAAATGAACAATCTTCGTGTCTATTCACCGAATAAAAACTCTCTAATGGAATATAAGAATGCATCGATGTCCTTCGATTTGTGATATTGTATTACGTTCGATCTTGTGAAAATTAAATTAATTGCGGTTACAGGATTGATTACAGAAAAATTACGTAGGCTAGAGGGATATAAATGGATCTCGTCACAAGAATACATCTTTCGCCCTCAATGTTCCACAGTAAAAGAGGATAGACGGCTTTGGTCTCGAGTCTCGATCGTGGCTGGTACCGCCATCCTCTTATCCCTTCTCATTCTATTGAAACGTCTGCAATCGCTGATCTCGCTTCTGTTTTTATTCCGTTTTTATTTAAAATTTTTTTGTTATTTCTTTTTATCTTCTTAACAAATGTTTAACAAATTTTTATAATTTCATTCTCTAAAGAAGATGAAATTCTTTATCAACTCTAACGATTAACATCAATATTTCAGCAGCAGTAACAATAGCTTTTACGATTATGAAGAATGAATAGATAAAACTGTAAACGATAGAAGATAAACGTTATCATAGAATCTTTAATGGCAATCAGTCGGAAACTCGAACGAAAGTAGATGAGGATAGAGGACCATGGTCTCGACCGTGGCTGGTACCACCACCTATCAAGCCTTCTCATTCTACCGAATAATCTACCAACACCGATTCGACTCCCACGACTGGTTCCGCCAGTCGAGTCGGTTGAGATCGTTTGCACTCGGTCCCCTCCAATAGCATTCGCTGCTTCCAAGCTTGCTGCTCGACTTCATTCGGTTTCATTCGGTTAATCAACGTGCGCGCCGAGCAGTCCACCATGAGCCGTTGAGCGGTTCGCGTTTTTTCAGTGTTTTTATTTCTTCCTTTTCTCTTTAATATCTCCCTTTTGCTCGTGGACTCATCGCTGTTCCCTGTTACTCATTTGCGAATCGATCTCAATCGTGGGCATGTGTTGCGTGCAATCCGTCTAATTTTTCTGGATATACGTGATAAACAGAACGTTAGGGTAAGTTTTAAAATTCCATCGTAATTGCATTTTTTTTTTTTTTTTGTTATATCCCATAAATGGAATTTCATAAATCGTTTGCTATCCCTATTTGTTTAGCTGCAACTAGTTCAAACAAATTGAATGCGCAAATTTGCTCGTGCAGATTCTTGATTCGAAAGTCGTCGTTTGTGCGTGATCCGTTTCTAATCGTTGAGATCGCAGTTGTCCTTGCAACTTAATGCATCTGAATCGAAACGGATCGGATCATTGGAAGCAATGCTTCTCATACAGAGAAAGAAGAAAAAAAAACGAGGCACGTTTACAGTTTCACTTTTCATTGACCAACATTATGATTATTCGAAAGGTATACAGAGCAAGATTACGTTATGTTCTTTGTAAGTGAAATCCTCGGTTCTTTTACACGTTCTACTTTCTATTAGCGTTGTGCTATTTATTTTTTTGCATGAAAATAGTTCGTCATGATTTTGCGTTTTTTTAGGAATTTATCAGATTTTGTCATTTTTGGTACAGTTTTAAGTATAAACATCATCACATATTTAAATAATTCTAAAAATAAAATGCGTCGTATATTTCATGTCTTTGTGTAGTTGTATAAATATTCAGAATTTTTAAATTATGATTTTAAATTAAAATATTGGAAAATATAAAAACTATTGATAGCTTTAATTGATAATAAATAGATCTAAAAATCATAGAGATTATTCTTGCATATGTAGATTAGACTCATATCGGTGCCAAGAGGTTTCGATGTGAAAAAATAATGTCAGAGGTCGACGCTTAAAAGAGCACATTGCGTCTTATAGAATTGAATCGAATGATAATAAGTTGATCGGCGCTTTTATTTAATTTTTTATCAATGCAATTAAATAACTATTAAATGACGCAATATTTCGTCATAAAGAATTTCTGTGACATCGTTTAGAAACATGCTCATATGATGAACTAGATTTTTTTCATGCTTAGAAATATAATAATAATGATCATTATGCAATGATTTGCAGTTATTGAAAGAACATTAAATTTCTATCTTCGCTTTTTTAAACGTCCTACATGACTAGGAAGTCGTAATACAATACTCGCATGGTGACCACAGTAATGATAACTGAGAAGAATATGACTAATGTTTAAATAGCCATATAGAGCAAGGAAAAGAAAAGGGCTATAATTGAAACATTTTTAATTATTAAAGAATCATCGACTTGTTGTAATAATTATGTTACTTAACAATTGCTGTTCATGAGAACAGACATATCTTTTCAATCAAAATGTGAGAAACGGATTTAATTGGGACAATGAATTTCCACGTTGCTATTAGAAAGCAAAAAAAAAAAAAAAAAAA